TATATGTTTTGGGTGAGTGTGTGATCACTTTCTTCTAACACATAAATATTAAGTATTTGTTATGAAATACGTGCTATGTGTTTATATATTGTTTGTTTATTTGAGATTGAGTATGGAATGGATGAACTATATAGGTTTTAATGAGTTAAACTGTATATATATATATATATATATATATATATATATTTTGTATCTACGAATATGTTGGGTAGGACATGGGTAGATGAGATCCGTGAGTATGGATCAGATCAAGAGGTTAGTTTTAGATCCGTGAGTATGGATTAGATCAAGAGATTGGATTTAGATCCGAGAATATGGAATAGGAAAAGAGATAAACTTGTTATTAATCCAGGAGTATGGATTAAGACATAGTAAATTGTCCCTAGTCCGGGAGTATGGATTGGGCACAGTTTAGATCCGGGAGTATGGATCAGAACAGGATTTAGGTATAGTAAATTGTCCCTAGTCCGGGAGTATGGATTGGGCACAATTTTAGATCCGGGAGTATGGATCAGACCAATAGGTAAACTTGTCATTAATCCGGGAGTATGGATTAAGACATAGTAAATTGTCCCTAGTCCGGGAGTATGGATTGGGCACAGTTTAGATCCGGGAGTATGGATCAGAACAGGATTTAGGTATAGTAAATTGTCCCTAGTCCGGGAGTATGGATTGGGCACAGTTTTAGATCCGGGAGTATGGATCAGACCAATAGGTAAACATGTCATTAATCCGGGAGTATGGATTAAGACACAGTAAATTGTCCCTAGTCTGGGAGTATGGATTGGGCACAGTTTTAGATCCGGGAGTATGGATCAAACCAAGAGATTAGTTTAGATCTGGGAGTATGGATTAGACCAAGAGGTTAGTTTTAGGTCCGAGAGTATGGATCAGGTTGAGAGATTAGTTTAGATCCGTGAGTAGGGATCATATAAAGAGGAAAAGTTTAGATACGAGAGTTTAGATCGTGGCATTGTGAGGATCGATGGGGTGGGATAAGAGTTGCTTTTTATATGGTGATATTATATAATTTTAGATGTTCTATATATATTTATATGATATAACATTGTGGGATGAAAACCCTATATGCTCACCAGGCTCCCAACCCTGACCCACTCAGTTTAATTGTATCACAGGTATCGATACGAAGCTGCTTTGCACTGAGAGATTAAAGGAGATGTAAATCACTAGAGTAAATGAATGTATGTTCTGTTTATGCTTATGTGTTTGTATCGGAACATGACATCCCGAGGTTTTATTATTTAATGAAAATACATTCTCTTTGAGAAATATTTTGATAAGTTTTTATCATATCTTGTTTTGGGAACAAATTCCGCAACCGTTTTCTTTAAACGATTACTCTGATTTATAAAAAAAAGCATAAACAAATTGGTCTTTTCTGGCCGTGAAATTGGGGATGTCACATACTCGCTCTGGGAATTCAGAAGATGGAGCAGTATAGCTTCATGTCTTGTTTTGTTATTTACATATGTATTCTATGTTTTGTGAACACACACATTGTAAACACTTTCTTTCTAATGAAATGGTTGTTTATTATTTTGATTACTATGATGTATGTCTTGTGATACTAAACATGACGTCCTCCACCCTGAACGTTTCTGCCGTTCCGGTTTTGGGGTGTGACAATTTAGTAGGCGTGTCGCGCCTATCAGGGTGTGCACCGCGCCCTCTCGTCGACGTTGCTGCTTCGAAATGTTGTTGTGTGTCGAGCAACTTGTGGTCCACGCCCCCACCTTCTGTACCTACCTGCGTGTGACGCTTTTTGAAAAACTTCATAAAATCGTATATTTCTCATACGAGCTCCATTTTAGACATTCTTTATATCCACAAGTAGCTATCGACGAGTGATACAACTTTCATTTAGAATTTGTTGGCTAATTCTCACTTTATTTTTGGACGTTCTCTATATACACGAGTGATACAACTTTCATTTTGAACTTGGTGTTTATTTGCATATATCTCTTTTTAGTTGGGTTTGTGGACTCTTTTGGTCCCATTGATGAAGTCCCATGACTCCATACCATTTTTAGAGCTTAGAGTTGCCACTCTTGGTGTTATTTGGGACCTAGAATCATAAAGTTGCCATTTTGGGGGTTGAAATCCACCCATGCATGAGCTATGGACTCTTTCATGAAAGAAGAATGTTATACTTTGAGTTTGGATCCATTTGGGTCTTGTAAAGTCACCAAGTTAGTGACTTTATAGGTTTAGACGTTAAGTAGAACTCATATATGTGATTTAGACCCTTGGTTTGAAGCATTAAGTGCTTAATAACGAAAATGACTTAATAGAGAAGTACATTGGGTGTACAAGCTAGTACGTGTAGCGTACAGGTCATGAAGCCGGTACGCGCTGCGTACAGTTGAGTACGCCCTGCATACTTAGTCAGAGTGGGCTTCACACATGTGGGCCTTGGTTTGGGCCATTCCTTGGACATTATTGCTTTGGGCCTTAGTGGGTCATCATAAATCAGACTTTGGGGCTAAGAATATGTTTGGACTTTAGGGTAAGGCCCACTGGAGGAGTTTGGGCTCAATTTGGAAAATTGGGCCATAAGTAGGTCATTAGTAGGCCTTAGTAGATTACTTAGTGTTATGCCTTTTATGTGATGGATTTGGGCCTTGGCCATGGATCATATTAGGACAGGGGTAAAATGGTTATTTTACCCCAAGAATGAATTATTGGATATTAATTGGAACCCAAGTATTGATTGGGTGTTATTTTATACTGATAGATCGAGGAGTCATCAGGACAACGACTAGGGATTTCTATCTGTGAGATTCAGCATCCGAGGCGAGTTCCCTCACTGGGCTATAGCAGGTCTAAGGCACCAATGCCGACCCTTATTGGTTATGCTAGGATGCTAGGAGTCTACGTGACCCTTGCACGTGTTATGTGCTGCTATATATACCGAGCGGGGCACGATGCCAGGCGAGGCCTGAAGATTGGAACATATGCTAGAGTTTATGATTGTTATATGTATTACTATGATTATATGATATTGATTGAATGAGTATGGCGGGCGAGGCCTGAAAATAACAGATCTGTAAACCGAGTGGGGCTTGATGCCGGATGAGGCCCAATGTCGTGCGAGGGCCCAATATATGATTTATTATGTACCAATATGGGGTAGTTTGGGGAGCTCACTAAGCTTTATGCTTACTATTCTCAATTTATGTTTCAGGTACTTCCAGTAGCAAAGGGAAGAGCTCGCGTTGACTGCATCGCACACACCATTGGGTTTCCGCATATGATGTTTTACTCTGAGTTTTATGACATTTGATACATTGGATATTTTGGGATGCATGTATGATGTTTGGAAAATACTATTTTATCTATTTTAAAAATGAAAATTTTGGGACCATATTTTGAGATGTTACATTGACCATATATGAATTCTACCCACAATGGTAGAAGGGCACCTCAATATGACCTCATGAAGTAATGCGGATCTGTCAACAAGGTTAAAGACATTCAGAGAAGTCCACGGTAAGCATGGAAAGAGACACGTCATTGCGACACTCACTCAACACCCTTTTGGTGCAATGTAATACGGCCTCGGCGCCACTCGACACCCCGACCTGAAACCGAAAATCATTGAGATACTTGGTTATTTCTTTACCAACACCTTTCACGACCAACTAGAAAACCAAACATCTCCATATAATGCTTATTGTAATAGATCGTATTCCATTGTTAGGTTTTAAGAGCAACATAAGAGGAGCAGAGACAAAAAATTCTACCAAACTCGAAGGGCATCTTCCCCCTAGCCATAGATTAAACACATATGTAATAGCATATATGAGGTCTTTGGCTATAACTGAGCATTCTCCACAAAGAGCATCCGAAATATGTTGAACTCTCAACCCATCTCTCCCACACGAGGTTCATTCAGGGAATGATTTAATCCCCTTAAGGACATTATCAATATCCAGTACAAGACAAGGTCTTTATAGTGAACTGCATACTCTCCAAAAAAGTCCAAACATGCCTTGCGGCACACTAGACATATCTCATCAGCTGAGAATATTGAGACCATGATTCGATATTTGAGGATAGTATGATACTCCACATGAGACATATGTTGGCCAAGCCAATCTATAGGGCTAGCCAAAAGAAAATCTTAATGAGTGTATAAATTCGTGTAATATGGTTAAAATCGTATCTATTCATGTCATGTCACACAAATTAATTACGTGTTATGTTCACACCCAAAACACGGTTTACAATTCATGTCATGCTTGTGTTTCACACATTCGTGTTGTGTAAATTTGTGATAGAGAAACATGAATTACCAAGTCTATGTAAAACTATGTAATAATAAGAAAAACATTAATACATAATAATTAAACATGAATTATTAGTTGATGATTAGATATCCCATATAATGTAAAGTTAATCATAACTTAATGATTAAGTAATCACACCTAATTCCAAAATGGCGACCATGGCATAACACTTTGTATATCTTCAATATAGAGTGGGAGACGTGCATTTGAGACTTTTGATACCATCATTCCTTTTATACAAACCAATCCAATCCGTTTTTATGGTGTAACATTTGAAGAAGACTGAAATTAATGTTAGTTATGAATATGAATTATGTTAAAACATTAATTATTTAATAACGTCAATTTATGTGTTTGTTGACTATCTTAGGCCTTAGGGGTTGATCGGATATGTATTTGACTATGTCTATAAGTTGTTTATAAGCTATTGACCTAATTTATGTTAATGCCGGACAATTTGCACATAAAGATAAACTTACTTTACATTTAATTTTTATTTTTTTAGATAATTGAAGTTTTCATTTAACTATAAACTTATAATATAAACGCTTTTATTAAAGTTAAAACATAATTTATAAAACGTTTTTTTAAAAAAAATAAAATAAAATAAAATAAAATAAAATAAACTTTGTTGTAATATCCAATTCGATAATAGCAATGAAATACGAGATGCGCACTCCTTGACTGTTTCTTGAATCTCTTTCTTTGTACACACAATACATCTACACATGCAGTTACTGTGTGTGAGCTTTTTCTGATTTGTTCTTCAATCGATTGGGTGAAAACACCATTTCCCTCCAAACATGCCCTCATTTTCGTAAACCAAATTCGCAACACTGCAGAAAATGGCGGCGTCTTCCACTGGATTTGTGTCTAAAGCAAGGACTGCCTTCCATTCTGCCGCTGCCAAGGCCGAGAAAGTCTTCACCGATATTAAAAAATCCGATTCTTCCACCGATCTAGGTTTGAATCTTCTCTCTCTGTTTAAATTTCATCTCATTCCAACTCAAGTTCCGTATTACAATCGAAATCGCAAGTGCTATTTTTGGAAGTTTGGGGTTTATTTCGTTTACTTTATTTAATCCTTTGGATCTTGATTTGATTTGTGCATCGTTTGACACTGAAGAGGAGCTCGGTAAACAGTCGCCGATTTCTGAGAAAGACGATTCTCCTAGCGGTGTGATCGTTACAAAGGTAGAGCTAATCCTAGTCTATACCGTTTTCTCATTTCCAAGTGGAATTATGATGTTCACTTTTGTAATTCCATGGATGATCGATAGAGACAAAAAGGAATCGGAATTTACTGTTTTTCCCCTTCTATTAGTCGCCTGGTTTGCAAAAGTGAACAATTTCAGCTTTAGTTATTGGCTGCTTACATTCAACATATGTTGAATCTGATTTCTTTGGTGACTTTGGACTTATCATCGACAGGAAAAGAATGCAAGGTGGAGACCTGAGCCAATTAAAACGAAGCAGGATTGGCAGGATAAATTTAAAAACATAAGGTTTGGGAAAAAGGGAGTTCCAGAACCTGATAAATCCGATGATACATCAATATCTGTTCCAATATTCGATGAAAATATGTTCCTACCAAGTTTGAGTCCTATGTCAAAGGTAACAAAAATAACCACTTCACATCGATTCTATCAAGACTTAGTTGTGTTCATTTATATGTGTATATTATTGCACTCTAGTATTCAAGAATCTTTACATTCCATATCATACAACTGAAAGTGATGTTCATATCTTGTAGGAGCCAGAAGTCGGTTTGTTGGGTTCAGACGATTCAAATATTGATATCATACCATCAGCTTCTGTGCTTAGACAATTGGCAATAGGTGTTGAGTAAGTTCTTTCCATTGTTTGATTTTGCCATAATTTTCAACTTGTGAATTTTGTGTAAATGAAAGATGTTCTGAACTGCAGGACGACCAGAATGGTGAGGACAATGAAAGATCTTCTGATGTCATCAAGAGATTCTTCACCTGTGAGGGAGAAAGCTGGTTTAAACTTCTCCACAGTGAAATCATTAGTACTGAGGGATAAGGAAGATAAGATTGATATGGAGTTTGGTACTGATGAGAAAGTCAAAGTTGTGTCACTTATCAGTTCACTACTTGGTGCAGGTAGATTTTTTTCTTTCTTTTGGTAAATGTCCGTAGATGTATTCACGCATTGCCCTTGATGATCTTTCAATTCCTTGCAAGATAATCACAGAAGGGCATCTTTCTGGAAGGAAGAGTACGCCTAAATTGGAGACAAATCCAACAATTATATCTTTGCTTAAAGACCTTCATGCTGCCCCTCCTGACAGCTTTGTTGTAGAGCTTGCTGAAGCCATTGGATGCTTGAAAACTCTAAGGAAAATGGCATCTTTTTGGTACAGGGTTGTTGCAGAAGTAAGTGAGTTGCTCTAGTTTTAAAAATTACTTCAGTTACTTTGCATATATAGTATACTTTCGGTGCTGCTTATTTTTCATTTTATGGGGACATAATTTAATCTGAACAGATAGATCTTCGTGTTTCCTTAATAATGGGGACAGATATATAATGGTATGGATGGATTTTGAACCTTTGGTGTGTGCAGTTGAGAAGACTATGGTGTGATGGACAGCATATTCCTGGCATCCCAGTTGACAAAATTCCAGATTTGAACTGCTGTCTGCTGTATCAACAGTTACAGGTCATCAATTGCTGTATCTCAAGAAAAAAAAGACGTGCAATTGCCACGTCATCATCAGTAGAGTCTGTAATGATGTATGCTAAAGTTGGATCTGGGGAATCTGTGGTTCGATTAGGAGCTGAAAAAGAATGCGAGAATTTAACACTGTTGGAAACCGGTGAACCTGTGTATGCCCCTGTCATGCAGGAAGAGCCATTGCTCACAGAGGATCTTGTCAAGGAAACAGAGGAGTTTATATTACGTACAGGGAGGTTAGTTGGTGGGCTTATTTATTTATTTTTTCAAATTTAAGAAAATGGATGATTTTTTTTTTTTTTAATAAAAAAATATATGGAGTCAGTGTTGGAGCAGGGTGCTCTCAACTGCTTTCAGACATGCAAGCTTTCAAGGCTGCAAATCCGGGGTGCATATTGGAAGATTTTGTTAGATGGCACTCACCCCCTGATTGGGAGCCAGCTGGAGATGTTGAAAGAAAAGAAGATGATTCTGATTCGTCTTCTAGAGGACACTTGAGTATGCGTATGCAGAAAGAAGGTATATTATTTAAAAAATGGAGTTAATGATGATGTATGATAATTATATGTGGAATGGAAATGATGATGATGCCATGATGGTTGGTGTTCAGGGAATTTGTGGAGAGAGATATGGGAAACTGCAAAACCGGTGCCAGCTGTCAAACAGTCTCCGTTGTATGATGAAGATTTGTCTGTGTAAGTGAGATTTGTTGATGTGTGTGTTGATGATGAAAGCCAAGGTGCATGAATGTTTGTGTGTGTGGTTATTATAGGGAAGGCATTTTGCATGGGCTAGAGGATCTGTCGCCTTCAGATTTGTTTGAACAACTATATGTTTGTGTTGTAAGTCATGTTTTCCATTGAGATGTTGTTTGTTTAGAAAATGTGTCTTTAATTAATTAGGTAGGTTATTTTTCAGGTGTGTTCTGGTTGTGCAATTGCTGAGGCGAGAATCATGAGCAATGAATATTTGTACAAGATGTTCCTGGAGTGCAAAGATTACATTGTGGCCTCTTGTCAGGCCAAAAATTGGTTTGAGAAACTTGATGATATATGTCAGGTATGGTATTCTTATTTCTTATATATTTATATTTGTATATGTGAAAGAATTTGTTAATTTATTTTTGACTTTTGTTTATGTGGGTATTGGGTAGGTGTATGAGACGGTGGTAATGATGGTATTAAGCCCAGATGAGTTCATAAGACTCACAAAGAATCAGCAAACTGAAGACACTCCTGCCTCCTCCGGTGAACTAAAAGCTCGATTTAAAAGGCTAAGCTTTGTGTTTGGCAACAAGGACAAGAGCAATAATAATAATAATACTAATAATAATGGGAAAACACCCCCTAAAAATACAGAAGAAAACCACAACCACCCACTACGCCAATCAATCACATCAATTTTTTCAAAGAAACCACCCAAACCAGGGGGTGCATCTCCAGTTACTTCAATTCAAAACGATTGGATAGATGTATAATAATCATTCTGACTCGCTAGATTTAATTGTAAATTCTTATTCAAATAATAAGAGAGCTAGAGAGAGTTAGAGAGAGGTAAATTTAATTTGTTGTTCTTGGAGAGATTGATGGATGGATTGTGTTTTTCGTATACAGTAAACTAAACCTAGGGAAACTGTATATTATCGTTGTTAAAACACAAATTACAAATTACAGGTTACATGAATGGAATTGTCACTTGAATCCTTCGTCGGTTTTCATCTTTACTTGCATTGGCACCACAAAGTTTGGCAATCGAGTAAAGAAATAAGAACGCCAGACCGTAATTGTAAACCATATAACCACAAAATCATTATAGATCTTCAAACAATATCACTGATAAGTCCAAACCATTCTTGGTTTATCAAAGAAGACCCAGGAAGCCCAAACAGGGAATAAGTCCAATTCAGGAGGTCAACTGTTAGAATCGTGGGGGAGGGGCATTTCTTTTGTTATTGGTTCTTTATTTTGTTGTGAGCATTATCCTTAGATGTTAGTTCTGTCCTAAGGGACCAGTATGGTGCTGGAGGGTATTTGCTTTTTGCCTTAGTGTAGTATTTAAACTCCCAGTTTTGGTTGAGTAGGACCATTGAAAAAACTTGTAGTGAAAACTATTTTGGAGAGATCCTTGCCTCTCGAAAGCATGAAATTTATCAGTTTCAATTAAATTGACATTTGTGGTCTATCTCGTATTCTGTTGTTGTTCTTGGCTTATCAATTGGTATCAGAGCAATGGTCGCTCCCCAAAAGAATACAGCTTCCTTGGAGAAGAGGTTGGAGACGGTAGAAGAGAACCTGTGAACCATTTTGGATGAGCAACAACAACAAAAGCTGGTGAATCAGCAACAAGCTAGAGCCACGAAAGACAACAAAATCATGCAGAATGAAATTATCCGGAAACTCGACGTGCTGATGGGAAAGATGGATAAGCTTGAACGAGGTAAGAGTGCTGAAACTCCAAACTCTGGTATTAACACCTCAATCTTGACTGGGGTGGATAAAAATCTCGCCCACGAAGGCCCAAGACCTCGTGGGTCTAACCGTGGAATCCCAGAACTTGTGTTCGGCTCCTTCGAGGGAGTGAATCAAGGAAGGGGAAGATTTGAATACAAACACAGGAAGGTGGATATGCCCACCTTTGATGGACGTGACCCAGATGGGTGGATTTTGCAAGCCGAAAGATACTTTGCCATTTATCAATTGATTAATGAAGAGAAGATTGAAACGGCGGTTCTCAGTCTGAATGGGGATGCGCTGATGTGGTTCAGGTGGGTAAGCAAACAACAAATGATATCTTCGTGGGAAAACATGAAAACTGTCTTCCTCAAGAGATTCAGGCCGATCCATGGGGGAAACTTGTACGAACAGTGGTCGGCGCTCCGACAAACGGACACGACGGAGGAGTACGTCCGGAAATTTATCGAACTATCGGCACCCTTGGGCGGCGTCACGGAGCAAGTCGCCTTGGGGAACTTTATAGATGGGCTTCAATCCCCCATTAAAACAGAATTACGGATGTAAGAGCCTGCAAATTTGGGCCAAGCCTTCCATTTAGCCCAACAAATCGAAGAAAAGAACCGGTCTCTTCTAAACAGCGGATTCGGTCTTTTGAGTCCCAAAAACGGATCTGTGGTTAACTCTCGCACATTTGGGGGGAAATCGTCTGTCCAAACAACGGGGACCTGGTCACGATCTGGCATCGGGTACAAGAGGAACGGGAATCTAGAAGACAAACCGTTGACGGAAGCTCAGATCAATGAAAAGCGGGCTAAAGGATTGTGCTACAAGTGTGATGATAAATGGTTCCGTGGTCACAAATGCAAAACACAGGTCAACGTTATTCTGGTGGAAGAAGACGAATATACGCCAGGGGAAGAAGCGACTGGGGGTATCGAACCCAACATGGACTCCACCAAAGTAGGGCCGACTGTGGAGGTCTCCTTGAGCTCGGTGGTGGGGTTGACGTCTCCGAAAACGATGAAGATCCGAGGTTCTATTGGCAACCATCAGGTGGTAACCCTAATTGACCTAGGGGCCACCCACAACTCCATCTCCACCACTCTTGTTGCTATCCTAGAGCTTCCAATTAGTGACACTGAACCATATGGGATACGAATGGGCACGGGAGACAAGGAAGATGGTCGTGGTATATGTCAAGGGGTCCTTCTACAATTGCAAGAGATCGACATTATAGAAGACTTTCTTTCTCTGAGACTTGGAAGTTCTGACGTGATACTAGGAATGAAATGGCTAGAAACATTGGGGACCACTCGGACAAATTGGAAGGAGCAAACAATGGAATTTGCTTTGGGAGACAAACTCGTTACGATTATAGGAGATCCTTCTCTAGGAACTTCCTTAATATCAGTTAAGTCCATGGAACGGGAGTTGCGAAAGGAGAAACGAGGGGTGATGATTGAGCTCAGCCACATTGAGACAATGGAAACCCAAAGACGAGAGATCCCATCATTCTTGCAACAAGTCATACATAAGTTCCAGGGCGTTTTTAAGGAACTAGAAGGGCTGCCACCGAGGAGGCACATAGAGCACCAAATTGTGCTTCAAGAGGGTACCACCCCAGTCAATGTTAGACCTGTTAGACCTTACAGATACCCCCACTTTCAGAAAGAAGAAATTGAGCGGTTGATCAAGGAGATGCTCAAGGCTGAAATCATACAACCCAGCAACAACCCTTATTCTAGCCCAGTCATCTTGGTGAAGAAGAAGGATGGGTCGTGGAGATTCTGTGTGGACTATCGAGCCCTAAACCGGGTAACCATTCCCGATAAATTCCCCATTCCTGTGATTGATGAGCTCCTTGATGAATTACACGAATCAGTGATTTACAGCAAACTGGACTTACGATCCAGTTATCACTAGATTAGAGTTCGACAGAGGATACTCACAAGACCGCTTTCCGCACCCATGATGGGCACTACGAGTTCAAGGTCATGCCGTTTGGGCTTACGAACGCCCCCGCAACCTTCCAATCGTTAATGAATGATTTATTTTGACCCTATTTGAGGAAGTTCATTTTGGTGTTCTTTGACGACATCCTCATTTATAGCTCGAGTGAGGAGTTACATGTCATATACATGGAGGCCACCTTGGAAATCTTACAACAAAATCAACTCTATCTTAACAATAAGAAGTGTGAATTTGGCCAACACAAAATCTCATACTTGGGTCACGAGATTTCCAAGGAGGGGGTAGTAGCCGAGGAATCTAAGATAAAGGCTATGGTGGAATGGCCAACTTCTAAAAATATCAAAGCTTTGCGTGGATTTCTCGGCCTCACAGGGTACTATCAAAAGTTCGTGAAGGGATGCGCTAGCATAGCGACGCCCTTGACTGACCAACTGAAGCGGGACAAGTTTGGATGGAATGAGGCGGCGGAGCTAGCTTTTGGAAAGCTGAAACAGGCCATGAGTTCGGTTCCGGTGTTAGTAATGTTGGACTTTTCAAAAACCTTTGTGATCGAGACGGATGCCTCTGGGACCGGTCTAGGAGCGGTTCTAATGCAAGAGGGTAGACCTGTGGCCTTCTACAACAACACCTTGGGAACACAAGCAAGGTTAAAATCGATCTACAAAAAAGAATTAATGGCGATTGTCAAGGCGGTCCTAAGATGGCGTCCGTATCTCCTTGGAAGACGATTCGTGGTTCGAACCGATCAATTTAGCCTTAAGTATATCCTGGAGGAAAGAGTCATCGATAACGACTACCAAAGATGGGTTTCCAAATTGATGGGTTTTACATTTGACATCCAGTACCGGACCGGGGCTAGTAATCGTGTAGTAGACGCCCTGTCTCACCGGGAACATCCACCAGTGTGCAATCCTATTTCAGTGGGTTGTTGGACCTTCTGGGACCAGTTGCAGGAGGAGATAAAAAAAGATGAGTTCATTGGAAAAATCAAGCTGGGTTTCGAAACGGAACCTAGAAATTACAAAGGATTCAGCATCTATATGGACCGCTTGATGTATAAGGAACGATTGGTCGTACCCTCGAAATCGAAACTGATTTCGGCCATCATCAAGGAATTTCATGATTTTCCTGGGGGGGGGGGGGCACTCGGGGGAGAAGAAGACTTACCAGAGGGTTGCGAGTGAAATCTATTGGCCGGGAATGCAAGTCGATATCAGCAAGTATGTGAAAGAATGCTCTGTTTGTCAACAATGCAAGCATAGTAGTCTTTCACCAGCGGGTCTTCTACAACCTTTTCCGATTCCCGAGAATACATGGGATGAAGTCACTATGGACTTCATCGAAGGTTTTCCAAGATCAGACGGCCGGGATACCATTTGGGTGGTGTTAGACAGGCTCAGCAAATATGCTCACTTTATACTCCTCAAGCACCCATTCAGTGCAACGACGGTGGCACAAACCTTCATTAAGGAGGTCGTTAGGCTTCACGGACTGCCAAAATCAATAGTGAGTGAACGGGATCGTATTTTCTTAAGCCAGTTTTGGGTGGAGTTGTTCAAACTACACGGTGTACAACTAAAACGAAGCACCGCCTACCACCCGCAAACGGATGGGCAATCCGAGGTGGTAAATCATTGTCTGGAAACGTATCTTCGATGTTTCTGTTCCGAAAAACCCAAGCGATGGTCACGATGGATAGCTTGGGCTGAATTCTGGTACAACACATCATTCCACTCGTCTACCAAATGTACTCCTTTTCGTGCTTTGTATGGTCGCGATCCTCCACCCATCATGCGTTACGAAGGTCAAGTGACCTCGCTCGATGCCTTGGATAAGATGTTGGAAGATCAGGATGCTATTCTAGATGATTTGAAAATCCATCTAATGCGAGCCCATCAGAAAATGCAGACCCAAGCAAACAAAAGCCGAAGAGATGTACAATTCCAAGAAGGAGATCTGGTATATCTCAAGCTGAAACCATACCGACAACAGAGTTTAGCTCGACGCCGATATGAAAAACTAGCTGCTCGCTATTATGGCCCATTCAAAATCATTGGGAGGATTGGAACGGTTGCTTACAAGTTAGAATTGCCCAAAACAACCTCAATTCATCCGGTGTTCCATGTCTCGCAATTAAGGTTTGCTTTTGGGGTCCCCCCTTACTCCAGCCCAGCTACCTCCCCAACTGACTGCTGAACTGGAGCTTGTGGTCAAACCAGAAGAGTTCAAGGGAGCAAGACTCAAGAAAGGAAGCGACACGGGTGAACTGGAAGTCCTCATTCAATGGCAAGGTACTTCTGATGCTGAAGCTACATGGGAAGACTATGAAAGATTCAAACTGCAGTTCCCAGAATTCGACCTTGAGGACAAGGTCAAAGTTTGGGCCGCATGTATTTATAAGCCCAAACCATTCTTGGTTTATCAAAGAAGACCTAGGAAGCCCAAACAGGGGACAAGTCTAATTCAGGAGGCCAATTGTTAGAATCGTGGGGGAGGGGCATTTCTTTTGTGATTGGTTCTTTATTTTGTTGTGAGCATTATCCTTAGATGTCAGTTCTGTCCTAGGGGACTAGTATGGTGCTGGAGGGTATTTGCTTTTTGCCTTAGTGTAGTATTTAAACTCCCAGTTTTGGTTGAGTAGGGCCATTGAAAAAACTTGTAGTGAAAACTATTTTGGAGAGATCCTTGCCTCTCGAAAGCATGGAATTTATCAGTTTCAATTAAATTGACATTTGTGGTCTATCTCGTATTCTGTTGTTGTTCTTGGCTTATCAATCACTCACACACACAGATTGAAGAGGAAACGTTGTGGGAATCAAGACTGTACTGAGAACCACCAGATGGGAGTTGGTGATAACCATGGCCTTGCTCCTCACAGGATTTACTACTGGCAAATAAAAATTGTATCTTGGAAACTTGATCCTGATGGTGCATGCTTGCTGGTGGTTCAAGGTGGAGAGTGGTGTTTGTGGATGGACCTCATTCTTCAAATTTCAGTTTAATTTCCCACAAAGCATAAGCACATACCTGTGGAGAGTTTTGGGTGTGTAATGTTTTTGGGTTTTAGTTTAGGTAATCTTTGGAGATTGGTTGTGGGGCATGGGCGTAATTTCACACTTTATCACGTGTGAAATTAGTTGTTATTTCTTTTACTCAAATTATGTTGTCGATTTTGGTAAAGACGATAAAAAGTTACAAATGATATGTATTAAATGAGTAACCAACCATCTGTTCAGTTCAGGATAAACCTAAGGTTGTTTTGTTTGGATGTTTGTTTTAGAGTGTTATTATAACTTTGAGTGAATTACACGAATGGTCCCTATGGTTTGGACTATCGAGCCACACTTGGCCCCTAACTTATTTTTTTTAACTTAGAAGGTCACAATTGTTTATTTTTGTTACATACTTGGTCCCTAATATTTTTTTTAGTCTTTGCTTATCTAAAAAGACTGTTATTTAAATATGAAAAAATTGTGGGGTAGATAAGGTAAGGTGAGTTTGGGGGGGGGGGGGGGGGGGAGGGGGTTGAGGTTGTGTTTATTTAAATAAATGAAAAAACCAAGGGCAAAATAATATTTTTAGGCAAGATAAGGACCAACCGTGTAACAAAAACAAACAATAGGGACCTTCCGAGTTAAAAAAAATAAGTTAGGAACCAAACACGCAAATTACCCTAAACCATAGGGACCATTCATGTAATTTACTCAAAGTTAAAAAAATAAGTTATAGACCCTATGTTGTTTATTCTGAACTGAATAGATGATCACTTTAATACATATCACTTACATTTGTAACTTTTTAGGCTAAGGAGAGTAACATCACTAAAACAACTCGCCATCCTCACTGCAAGTTGAAGAACACCATCCTTAGGTCTCGCTAGAGGGCTTGCTAAGGAAAGATCGTTGCCATTGTAGCGAGGGGAGAGAGAGTCCAAGAGCGTGTTGTGATTGGTGGAAGACACGTTTGGTGGAAGATGTCAATTCCAACTAATTTATTACATATATTTTCCATTTATTTGCCAATGATTTCTCATTTCCAACTGATTTATTTCATATACTTCCCATTTATTTGCCAATGTTTTATCATTTATTTTCCACAGCTTAATTTATTTTATATACTTTTATAAAGAGTTTGATACTTTCTCATTTAACTTTCAACCACTTCCTCATTTATATACATTTTAATTAAAATAATAGTTTTTATTATAAAAATTAAAAAATTTCAATTACAATTCAACTGTTAAAATTGTTTGTGGTTTAAAAAAATAAATTTTTTTAATATTTGTGCATAAAAAATATTTATGTATTAAAATAAAATAATTTAATTAAACTAAAAAAAATAAATATTAAAAGTATTACCAACTAAAATTAAATGTTAAACGGATAAAAATAAAGTGAATCAAAAAAAGTAACGTGACAAAATGCTATAGTCTCGACAAAATCTAGAAGATGATAGTTGGAATAAAAAAATAGAGTAAATTACATGAATGGTCCCTGTGGTTTGGAGTAATTTGCACATTTAGTCCCTAACTTATTTTTTTAATTCGGAAGATCCCTATTATTTGTTTTTGTTACGCGTTTGGTCTGTTTGTTTTTGTTACACGTTTGGTCCTTATGTTATCTAAAAAGACTATTATTTAAATAGGAAAAAATGATGGAGTAAGTAAGGTAAGGTGAAGGAGGTGGGATTAGGGGTGTGTTTATTTAAATAAATCAAAAAATCAAGGGAAAAATAATATTTTTAAGTGAGTCAGGGACCAAACGCGTAACAAAAACAAATAGTAGGGACTTTCCGAATTAAAAAAATAAGTTAAGGACCAAACGTGCAAATATATTCGTGTAATTTACTAAAAAAAATAACATCACGTGATAAAGTGTGAAATTACGCAAACACCCCACAACCAATCTCCAAAGATCAGCTGACCTAAAACCAAAAAAACATTATCCGAACCCAAGACTCTCTCACAGGCATGTGTCTATGATTTGTGGAAATTAAACTGAAATTTGAAGAATGAGGTCCATCCATCACCACCATCCACCACCACCACTCTCCACCTTGAATCACCAGCATGCACCATCAGGATCAGGTGGGGTGTTTCCAAGATACAATTTTTATTTGCCAGTAGTAAATCCCGTGAGGAGCAAGGCCATGGCTATCACCACCTCCAATCTGGTGGTTCTCAGTGTCAATTCACCCGCCACCACCGGAGATTTAACAGTCTTGATTCCCACAAGGTTTCCTCTTCAATCTGTGTGTGTGAGTGTGTGTGTGATATTGTTTGAAGATCTGTAATGATTTTGTGTTTATATGGTTTACAATTACAGTCTGGCGTTCTTATTTCTTTACTGGATTGCCAACTTTGTGGTGCCAGGATTCGTGATGAAGGACCTCCAATCTGACGATGCAAGTAAAGATGAAAACCCTAACGAGGAAGGATTCAAGTGACAATTCCATTCATGTAAACTGTGATTTGTAATTTGTAATTTGTAATTTGTGTTTTAACAACGATAATATACAGTTTCCCGTTTTCCGTATACGAAAAACACAAACAAATTAAATTTACCTCTCTCTCTCTCTCTCTCTCTCTCTCTCTCTCTCTGTCTAACTCTCTCTAGCTCTCATATTATTTGAAGAAGAATTTAGAATTAAATCTAGCAATGAAGAATGATTATTATACATCTTAACATCTATCCAATCGTTTTGAATTGAAGTAACTAGGGATGCACCTCCTGGCTTAGGCAATTGGCAGTAGGTGAATTTTGTGTAAATGAAAGATGTTCTGAACTGCAGGACGACCAGAATGGTGAGGACAATGAAAGATCTTCTGATGTCATCAAGAGATTCTTCACCTGTGAGGGAGAAAGCTGGTTTAAACTTCTCCACAGTGAAATCATTAGTACTGAGGGATAAGGAAGATAAGATTGATATGGAGTTTGGTACTGATGAGAAAGTCAAAGTTGTGTCACTTATCAGTTCACTACTTGGTGCAGGTAGATTTTTTTCTTTCTTTTGGTAAATGTCCGTAGATGTATTCACGCATTGCCCTTGATGATCTTTCAATTCCTTGCAAGATAATCACAGAAGGGCATCTTTCTGGAAGGAAGAGTACGCCTAAATTGGAGACAAATCCAACAATTATATCTTTGCTTAAAGACCTTCATGCTGCCCCTCCTGACAGCTTTGTTGTAGAGCTTGCTGAAGCCATTGGATGCTTGAAAACTCTAAGGAAAATGGCATCTTTTTGGTACAGGGTTGTTGCAGAAGTAAGTGAGTTGCTCTAGTTTTAAAAATTACTTCAGTTACTTTGCATATATAGTATACTTTCGGTGCTGCTTATTTTTCATTTTATGGGGACATAATTTAATCTGAACAGATAGATCTTCGTGTTTCCTTAATAATGGGGACAGATATATAATGGTATGGATGGATTTTGAACCTTTGGTGTGTGCAGTTGAGAAGACTATGGTGTGATGGACAGCATATTCCTGGCATCCCAGTTGACAAAATTCCAGATTTGAACTGCTGTCTGCTGTATCAACAGTTACAGGTCATCAATTGCTGTATCTCAAGAAAAATCAAATGTGCAACAAAAACAAATTGTAAATTAATCATACCTCATTTTATTTATAAATAAATTAAAAAATCAAGGGGAAAATAGTCAGACATGGACCAAATGTGCAACAAAAACAAATTGTAGGGACCTTTCGAGCTAAAAAAATAAATTAGAGACCAAACGTATAAATTACTCCATACCATAGGAACCATGGAATTTACTCTTGGATGGTTGTTAATTCCTCAATAATAAATTATAAATAGAGAATAAAAAATCTCAACACCTCACCTCAGAAATCTTTATTATAATATAAAGTTACAGACAACACCTTTATTTATTTTATTACAACATGAAATCATAAATTAATCATAGTTCCAAATATGAAAATAATGAAAAAACAAATTAAACAACAAATAACTCAACCATGTCATGCACATTGTAATTATACGTACAAATGCATGCACTCAAGGCAATCCACCACCAAAACCTCCACCGGAACCAGCACCAAATCCTCCACCAGAACCACCTCCAAGTCCACCACCACCGCCACCGCCACCGCCACCGCCGCCACCACTTAACCCTCCAATCCCAGAACCACCTCCAACACCACCACCTGCTCCTCCTCCAAATCCAGACCCGCCTCCCAATCCACCACCACCTCCTCCACCAAACCCTCCACCACCTCCTAATCCAGAACCCCCACCAAAACCACCTCCCAATCCAGAACCGCCACCAACACCACCTCCTAACCCACCGCCACCACCGCCGCCGAATCCACCACCACCAAGCACACCAGAGTAGAAGTTCTTCTCATCCCGAAGAGTCCCCTTCGAGCCATTGGAACTCAGTTTCCGAGCCGAGGATGTACAAACCAGAGCACCAAAAACAAGAAGAAGAAAGAATTTAGGAGAAGCCATTTTCAGCTGAGATAATGATGATGAAGATGAGAAGATCGATGGATTGTTGATGCTGCATTTATACAAGGTTAAATTATGCAAATCATGCAACAAAAACTTGTACGGTACAATTCACTAATAAAAACCACAGAGATTTAAAATTAAGTAATAAATGCAAAGTGCAAAAAATAGATGGATCTTCCAATTGCATTTCCCCAACTGTTTCTTTGACAAAATCCACGAGTTTAACAAGACTACATTGCCTTCAACCACCACACATACATACATACATACAACTGTAGTACGCCATCGGCCATACATACACTTATAGTTATACCACCAAATTTGTTTCCAACTAAAACTAACTGCCCCACTCAAATTTGGCCCAAACCTTTTATTTGCATATATATATATATATATATATTCCAATTTCCCAATATTATATATTTCATTACCATTCTTCGTGCAATCTGCTAGTGACTTATTTATCAGATTAAGATTTGTTTATTTAGTTGGTTGCGAATGTGTGTGTTTATCATGATTTACTGGTATCATAATTATAAATAGTACTAATATACTAATATTACAAATCTTATGATAAAAGAAAACTTCTAAAAATCAACGAGTGATATATATTTTTTTTTGTTTTGTATTGTTACTAAAGTAGAGGCTCTTGGTTTAGAATTTCTTTTTTTATTTTTATTTATTTGTGAACAGGTTGCCTTCGACAGTATACATGTTCTATAGTATTTTGAATATAAAGATGTCGATTAAATGTCCAAGATAAAACCAAAATTTTATTACTACTAAACTGTGGTTATCTTATGAAATTTTAGGGAACGAGGGAATCTTGTCATTCTTGTGTTTTTTGAATTTTTGGTCTTGGACCCTACTTCATTATCGGTTTTCCTCCCCTGTAATGTGACTATTACAATCTAAATTTTTTGTAGCTTTGTGACAAAAAGGAAGGACCATGCTAGATTAGTACAAGATGAAACATGTTATGTTGGGTTGCACACATACCGATCTTTGTTGTTCTTTAATCTTACAATTAATTAATATGTTAAATATATTAGCCGAAATATACACTTGCTATATATTTCGAATTTATATATTGTATCTGTATATTTATTGTGTAGTATC